TCTTCTCTTCTACTGTGCACTAGAGCTCTGCATACTTAGCCAATCTGTAACCTGCTGTTCAAGATCAATTAATTCTTGGGACAAGAGAGATTTTCTTAAGAGGATTTTTTTTGGCAGTCAAATTTGTATTAAATGTGTGCTCTCACTTCTAGGCTTAAAGACCTATTCTGCCTCTGTCTCACAGCTGACCCACTGCAAGCCAAATGTGATATTCAACACTATTAAGTATCTAAAGGAAGCATCTTGAGGACTACAGTTGAAATTACCTGAAATAAATTAATAAACAATTAATTTCTGAGCTCAGAGATGTTTTTTAGCTTGGGAGGAGTTGTAACATGTATGCTGTCATCCAAGTAACATTTGCAGAAAGCTGCAAATAGAAGCTAGGAAAAGAAAAGATAGAGAAGAAATCACATCTGTCAAGGAGCATGATTAAGTGCTGACTTGAAATAATGTGATTCACTGTTTGGGCAATCTGGGTATGAAAGCACTAAGTCTTGGATCAATAAAATGAATCTCGGACAGATATTAATCTGGCTTTGACCTTAGAGTTACATACAGCTACAGAGCCAAGGTTATTGATGCCCATCCTAATCAGACATTCAGACATCGGAGTCTGAAAACTTAAATATTTGCCTCAGACTCAGGTAACTGCTGGGTTTGTTTTGGGTTGGTTTTTTTTTCCCATTTTCTTCCTAATGTTTGCATAGTTAAAGCTGTGATTAATATGTTCCATTTGACTGCCTTTCTACTGGAAGTCATGAACTCAGGGTGAATGGGCTACTGTCAGACTGTTAGGTTAGAATTTGTTTCCTCCTTTCTGACCCAGCAGTGTGGGGGTAACTTTGCTCATGTGCTGTGAGAGTGAATTAACTGACACTGGAAAGTCTCTCAGTTACATGGCTCATGTGTTGTTTTTTTGGAGGCATCCAAAAAGCCTAAATGGCAAGTTGGTCAGTTTTGCTTCTGTGAGCAAGTGTAAGGCTCTCTAGGACAGAGTTTTAATCTCATAGAATCATAGATCTTAGGGATTGGAATGGACCTGAGAGATCATCCAGCCCCAACCCCTGCCCTGGGCAGGGACACCTCCCACCAGAGCAGGTTGCTCAAGGCTTATCCAACCTGGCTGTGAACACTGCCAGGGTTGGGGCAGCCACAGCCTCCCTGGGCAACCTGGGACAGGGTCTCACCACCCTCACAGGGAAAACATTTTTCTCACATCCAACCTGGACTTTCCCTCCTAGGGATCTGTTCAGAATCAGCACTTGAAGCTGTTTGTGCCCAAGGTACATGAGTTTTATTCAGCTGTAGCACTGACTTTATGCAGGTGTTGTATGAGATTCCCCTTGTTGCCTCATAACTCTTGTTCCTTCGCCCAATACTTGCATTATTGCTGGAGACTTCTAGTGCAGGTACCAGTTGGCCAAGGTGCCTCTAGTAGAGTCTAGCTTAGCTCAGATGTATTTCAGCTTGCACAGGTGAGGGAGGATGGTGTGGATTCTTAGCCTTGCATTGGATGCACCATCCTGCTTTCAGTTGTGATGACAAAGTGTTGCTCTTATGAATCATCCACAATTGAGTAAGTTTCTCAGAGTGGACAGGCTGGAATAGTGCTGAGTGTTTTTCAGAAGGAGCTGGGGCAGGAAGCCTGCAGAGAACTTGCTGCCAGCTCAAGCAGAGCTGAGGGTGCCTGGTCCTATGCTTTTACCCTCCATGTCTGGTAACAATCTCAAAATCTTTGTTTTCTTTCAAAGTGCTTCACCATTCCTCTGCTAGGGGAGCAGTACATATCACTTTTCTCAGTAAAGAGTGTCACATCCTAGGATTTGACAGTTATGGACTTAGATCTCATGTAAAAGCTCTTTTCTGAGCATCATCTCTTCCACAGAATAGCTCCAGCAAATGGACTTGGTGCTGAGCTCATGAAATGCTGAGTCCCAGGCCTGATTGAATTTTATGAGTAAGCATTTTTCTTGTTCTTACCAAAATCCAATAGCAACCTCCAACTGTGCAGAAATAAAGAATGCCTATTGATTTTACTGTGTCTCTCAGTTAAGGGAGGTCTAGACCAAAGCAATACTTTTGTGCTTGTAGATTTGACTTATCTCCATGAGACAACTGTGCTGTAACTGAAAGCAGTAGCTGCATGTAAATAAAAGGCAGGGCATCCCTGTCAGTAGGAGCCTGGTTAATTCTGGGTTGAATTAGTTTATTTATACTCCATTTAAGTTCAGACAGATTCTCACTGCCATCTGGTTCCCAGAGAACAGCTAGAACAAGCACAGTGAAGTCTGTGCTTGCGTTTAATTTATCAGAATTTCATGCCTTGCTGGATCTGTTACCACACACTTTTGTAAGATGAGGAACTTCAGTCACACCAAACTCGTTGGGACAACAAAAACAAAAGCTAGTGATGATATAAAACCTCAACCAGACAAAACAACAAGGTATATTTCCATGTAGTCTGACAATAGGCGCCTATTGATTTTTGCTACTTGAAGTGATAATGAGGATTCAGAAGAACATCTTGAATATCTGTGTCTTCTGCTGGCTGGCACAGGCTGTGGTGCTCTGATCATTCAGTATGGTTCAGGCTGAGTTCCATTTCCTTTAGAATGGATCTTTGCTCTTAGGCATTGGGTCCTGCTGCAGCTTTTGTCCAGAGGACAGAACATCAAGTCTCATAGGTTTATCTTGTTAACTCTGCATTTAGAATCATCAAGGTTGGAAGAGACCTCTAAGATCATCAAGTCCAACCATTAACCTGTCACTGCTGGAACCCCTAAACCCTAAACCAGATCCTCCAGTGCCAGATCCAGTAACAAAATTTTTCCTCACATCCAATCTGACTCTGCCCTGGCTCAGCTCAAGGCCATTCCCTCTGTCCTCTCCCTGCAGCCCTGGCAGGACACACATCCCACACCTCTCTCCAGCCCTGGCAGGGAGTTACAGAGAGCCATGAGGTAGGTCACCCCTGAGCTGTCCCTTCTTAAGGCTACATTACCTCATTTATCTGAGGTATGGGGGGATGCAGCTCTGTGTTTCTGCAGAATGGTCTGCCCGAGAGAAATCCTGCCCCAGTTTGAGAGTTATCTCTTGGCATCACTTGTTTTGTAGTGATACAGGACCAGGGAATGTTACACAGTCTGAGAGATAAGTGTGTGGCCTCTCGGATTTGATCTTTCAGCTTCAAATTACAGATTTACATCAGCCTGTGAATGCTCTGAGCTAGACATGTGCCTTCCCCTGTGAGCTCCCAGGAGAACTAGGATTCTATTTAATTTCTCCTTGAAGAGGTATTACTAATATTCTTTTTTAGCTTATAATGGATCTCTGGACTCTGGAGAATAACCTTTTCATCTGCTGACTTTAGAAGTTGTAATACATCATCTCATTCTGGAGTTTTCAACCAGGAGACCATGCACCTGATTGAACTGGTTTGTAATGTGTGCTGCAAAACATTAACTGCAGCTTTAATTCTGTTGTGTCTGTGCTTATCATGCCTATCCTGTAGTTAAATTTGCCTTGGAAATGGGTCACCTGTGTACCTAGTGATGGTTTTTTCCCTACTGACAGGTCTAGTTTCTCTCTGTGTAGCTCCATGCATACCAAGGATCTGCTGCTCTTAGTCCTCAAAGGTTTAATACACGGGAGCAATCTTCTTTTGTGTGAAGCTTGTCTTCCTTCTCTTGTGTTGCTGGCCTGATTTCCTCTGACTAAAAATAATGAGGAAGGATACATCAGAATTAGAATCCAAGCCCCAAATCACAGCTACATCTGAGGCCTGTAATACTGTGGAGTGTCTGCAGCTTTCTAATTACAGACTCTGAACCTAGTAAATAGGGAGTTTAAAGAAACAAGGTTGAACCTGATGTATGATCTTGCATGTGAAATGTGTGGGGTTTAATCTCTGGCTGATGAAAGATTCAGTTGTCTGTTCAGAAGTGAGATGGGGATAAACACGGGTGACACAACTGAGAGAGCATTCTAAATGGCTTTTCTGTTCCTTTTGATTCTTGTGACACCTTCAGTTGTTTATATTGAATTTCCTCAGTTTTGTTAGCACTTATTTTGTCTGAGCTGTATTTGAATTCTATTTTCAGTGTCAGAAGCACAATGACTTTGTAGCTCAGTGGTGTAAAATAGTTTTATAATGGCAGTATCATCATCTTGAGTCACTGCCTCTAAAAAATCATAGAATTTAAGGGTTGGAATGGAGTTTAGAGATCACCCAGCCCCACCCCCTGCCCTGGGCAGGGACACCTCCCACCAGAGCAGGTTGCTCAAGGCTCATCCAACCTGGCTGTGAACACTGCCAGGGTTGGGGCAGCCACAGCCTCTCTGGACAACCTGGGCCAGGGTCTCACCACCCTTAGAGTAAAAAACTTTTTTCTCACATACAACCTAGACTTTCCCCCCTTACAGTTTGAACCCAATGCTCTCTTAGGATCTAGTTGCTCATTATTGAGAACAATATCCTACGTTTGCCTGTTCTGAAAGGATAGACCTGTAGTGCAAGAAGTGTGTGACTGAGAATGTGCTATTTTTAGAGCAAAACTGGTTGCATCCAATATTGAGAAAGGTGCTAAGGGGGAAGTAGGCGATACCTTGTCCCTGCTGAATTGCCTCCTCTGGCAGGAGGAGCCTTCTGGGACCTTGAGGACTCAAGGGAGCCTTTGTGTTACTGAGTGGTTGTCATTGCCACCTGATGTAGTTGCAAGGGCTGCAGGGTAGGTGTAGTTTGTGGCAAAACTGGAAAACACAAGTGTTGCATAATACAAAAAGCTAAGCCTTTTGACAATGTCTTGGCTGCCTCTGAGAAATACAGAACTACAGAACAAGCAGAGTTGGAAGGGACCCACGAGGATCATCCAGTCCAACCCCTGGCCCTGCACAGGACATCCCTGACAATCACACCCTGTGCCAATACAGAGCTGCTTTTTAAAGCAGGGTTTTGTGACTGCATGAATTGTTGCTTGGTGTAAATATTCTTTGCAAAGAGATCTGGTTCTGCACACACATTGTGATAAACTGTCTTAATTCTGTTTGCTCTCTTTGCAGGCTGCGGACCTGAGCAAACCAATAGACAAAAGGATATACAAAGGAACACAGCCTACATGCCATGACTTCAATCACTTAACAGCCACAGCAGAAAGTGTGTCTCTCCTAGTGGGCTTCTCTGCAGGCCAGGTCCAACTTATAGACCCTATTAAAAAAGAAACTAGCAAATTATTTAATGAGGAAGTAAGTAGAAATCTTCACACTGTTGCATGCAATGTGTCTGTGATGCTGAAGTGCCCTGGGTGGCTCCATTTGCCTGTTGTAGCTGATTGTTCAGTCACTGCCTTTGTTTTTCAGCTGTTCCATTGTCTTGGAATACACATGCTAAAATGTTTTTCATGAAGGCGTCTTGGGGGAGGGTTGAGATTAAAAATTAGGACTTTCTAGTTGACTGTAATGAGAGTTGATGACAGTTTACTGATGGAAATAAGGTCTACAAATCTAAATGTTTCTGCTTGTGCTCTGCAGTCATTTCTGAGGCTTCTGGTTGCCAATGTAGAAAACATATAAGGCTCTATTTGACTAATATATTATGGTTAAAATGTTAAGTAAGTTAAAAATACCAGCTTTTATGGTTGGGATGCTACAGCAGAAACTGCCTGTGTTGAGGGTTCCTAAGGGATTGCTTGGGGAAGACCAAGCTGAGTGCTGGATAGAGAAAGCTGAAGACACTAATGCCAAGCTCTAAGACCTCTGACTCTGAATATCTGGTCGTATTGGCATTTTTAGAGTAAGTGTCCAAATGTTAATGAGGAAAGAAAACTGTTAACTGGTGTAACTTCTGACAGCATTTTCTGCAGGGGATGAGCTGTGGGAATTTGGGTGGTTTGGAGGAGGTGTTCTCTGGGGTGAGTGTCCTTCTGCTCCTTTTGTGGTTTGACCTAGCTCTGTAGAGAGGTTTGCAGGTCTCCTGGTTGTGGTGGTTGTTGTTTGGGTTTGTTGTTTTTCTTTCCTTTTTAGAAATTTCAGATCTGGATTAGAACTCTGCAGGTTAAGCCTTGCTCAGCTTTCAAACTGAGCAAGCATCTCTCCCACCTCAGGGAGGTGTGTTGCATTGCTCCTTCTTGGTGCAGAGAAGACTGAAGTATTGTTCTCAATGGGGATGTTTTATAATTAGAACTGTCTAATTTCTCCTCGGCTTTCTAAAAGTGGCTCCATGTAGATCAGATGAGAGGTGTTTTTCTCCTTACCTTGCCTTGTCCCAACTGCTCTGTCTCTCTGCTTGTGCTGAGTGGGAAACAGTGCTGGAGAATCTCTTCATGTTGCATGGAGGACTCTGTGGCTAGAGAGCTCTGCATAATGGTTGAAATGTTCATTTTAGCATTGTCCTAACAAAAAATACAGCCTGATGTATTGTTGTATGATCACAGTGTAAGTATTACAAGTAGTAGCAGAAATAAACAGCTAGTTTCGTATCATAGAGTAGTTCCCACTGGTCTGTAGAGGAGAATTTCTGGTGGAATACTTACCTTAAGGCCCAGTGCATGTCTCCATGCCTTGGTGGTGTTTACTCTCTAGTGTCTGCAGTGTGAAGCTGCATGGCAGGCTCAGTAGTTCTGTGGTAAGTCCCCAGATGGTGGGAGCACTGAAGCCACTTCCATCAGAGAGTGTTGCCTTTTGTCTGTGCTGCAGCCAGATCACTTCATTGTGCTGGGAACACATCCTCTGGCAGCTGGGTGCAAACCTAAAGGAGGTGGTCTGTTTTCTGCAAAGCTATGGCATAAGGGTTGGCTCTGTGCTTTCAAAACTGTGCACACAGTAGGCTGCAGGTAAATTGTTTCCTACCTTATCTGCAGTTATAACCAACTCTAAAGCTTTCCTGTGTTTTTAACCTGTCGATGACAGTGGTGAAGTTTGCCCTTGGGTGTGTGTGTAAGTTCTGGTTGTATCTAAAAGCCATTTCAGAGAAACGTTAGTGAGCACTGACGTTTGAGGCAGCTTGTTGGCTTCAAGGTGAAGGTGCCTGTTGGGTTCTGAGCTTAGTGTTTGAGAATAAACATGTCTTCAGAGGCATAAGGTGCTCTAAATGAGTCTCTACATTGTTCAGCAGACCCAGCACTACCAGCACTAGTGCTGGAGATGATGGAATTCACCACCTGTTAGTCCTGTGGTGAGTCAGGTGGCCCAAAGCTCTATCACCTGTGATAGACAATCAGAATAGCACTTATGTGACCTGTGAAATAACCTGATAGGACACACGAGTTTGTGTTGAACATAGGCTACATTTAGACTATTGCATTTCAACTTGTTGCTCTTCTTTGTGTTTTTTAAATCCCATTGATGTATAGGCCACTGGGGACTCGAAAGGCTGAGGTGAGTGGTGCTGTGCAGCTTGTGGCTGCTTCCCTGAACCAGTCTGTATCACCAGTGGTACTCCTTCCAGCCCTGTCAGAATTGAAGTGGTGATACCTTCTTATTCCCCAAACCAAACAAGCATTCCTCACTGATCCAGTTGTTTCCAGGTGGTGGTTGGTAATTATCCATATATAACCAGTTGGTTCTTTCCTCTTATTTTTTTTATCCTTTTTTAAAAAAAAAGCCTTAAGCTGTATATTTCCCTTAATAAACTCTGCCCCAGCCTAAACCAGCACACTGTGTTGCCAAAACTCTTTGTCAGACCTTAATGCATGTTCCTTGATTGCCTCAGTTTTTCAGTCCTTTGTGGCCTATAACTTTGTCCCTTCAAAACATGACTACCAAGATAACCTTGGCTTGTCTTTCTCACTGATGCCTGAAGTTACTTCACTATTCTTTCCCCAAACTGAAGATGAGCTCCTTATCCCACCTCCCTCCCTGATGTGCTGGTGCTGCATTCAGTGCACTCCTGCTGATGCACCTGCCAGGCCCATGGACTGCAGGCCTTGCTTTGCTGTGCTGCAGGACTTTGTGAGCCCAGCTGGAAGCTCTTCAAACTTCTCAAAGTCAGAACTAAAGTTTTTCTC